TTTTAATTAAATATATATTATTGGCATACTTTTGGGCTTAATTCAGCCACTAATCAGCGGAGCGTAGCGCATTCACACAACAGTTGCTTTTAGTATTTTTCTGGTATATTTTAAGCAATAGAAATATCGACGTGCTGGCAACGCTGCGCATTTAAACAGCTGTTCCACTAATCTCTAGATTGCGGCGAATCATAAACAAAGCACTTCGGTGTACAATTTTCAATTTGACCTTTGACAAGTACGTTGATGTGACCGTAGCTAAGACTAACGCCACTTAAATATTACACAATTCCCTCCCAACTGCAGTGAGGCTTTTGCAAATTGTGCGTAAGATGAGCCAATCAGCTTCTATAGAACAGCTTTCGGGTGAGATTTAGATTGTCCTAACTACCATCTTTAATAACATTTATTTGGTAAACATTTTAGCGCTGCGCTTGAAATATCATGAGCGCAAGGATGCCTTTCTAGAGGAGAACATTAAGATAAAAGATCCATTTGTCGTATTTCGCGACTGGCTAAACGACGCTCTCAATACAAAGGAGATCCTCGAGCCGAATGCTGCAGCCTTGGCCACGGTAAACGCAGAGGGCAAGCCGTCCAATCGCTTTGTCTTGGTTAAGGAGGCCACCACCGAGGGCTTCACATTCTTTACCAACTATGGCAGTCGCAAAGCCGAGGATATTGCTCGTAATGCCAATGTGGCCATCGCCATCTACTGGCTGCCCCTGCGGCGCAGCATTCGCATCGAAGGCGTCGCAGAGAAAATCTCCAGGGATGCATCCCTAAAATACTTCCACGAGCGTCCACGTGCTAGTCAAATCGGAGCCGCTGCCAGTCCACAGAGTCAACGCATACGTTCGCGCAGTTCTCTGGACGAGGTGGAAGCAGAAATCAAGGCCAAGCTGGGCGAGAGTGGCCAGGTACCGCTGCCCAATTGGGGTGGCTACCTGGTGCGCCCATCGCTCATCGAGTTCTGGCAGGGACAAACGGATCGCCTGCACGATCGCATACGCTTCCGACGTGGCCCTGGAGTTCTCGACGAGGTAGACGGAGAACTGATTCATAAAGGCGAGAATGAATGGGTCTATGAGCGATTGGCACCTTAAAGAGAGACAGAGAGAGAGAGGACAGCTAAGAGGTAAATGCTGCGCATTTTTATGTCTTCCAAAATGCTTGATAATTTGTTAAAATTAAAACTTGTTAAAATATCAGAGATCTTAAGATAATCAGTTATTAAGATCAGATAATTTATGCAGACGATTAAAAAAAACTTATTATGGATAGTAAAAGGAGAAAGTTAAAAATATGGAGTAAAACTAAAAAAAAAAAAAAATTATGAAAATCACTAAAGGAAAAAAATATTTAGATACAATTATTTAATTATCATAATGGATCTTCATGTGCGAAAATCTTCATTGTAAAAATATTTTAAATGGATAATAAAATAGAGAAAATTTCAGATCTGCATTCAAAACTAAAATCCGAAAGTAAGGACAAAGAAACACAAAAAACACAAATTTGAATCTTCAGTCTGATATATCTATAATACTATGTAAATAATCATGTTTGATATTTTCTGATGACTCCCATCACTTAGATATCCCCAGAGGTAACCAAATTTTTAGCTTCAACCACAATTACACAAGTTGTATATAACTTCCCCATCTTATGATGATAGTATTCCCGATATCTAAAATAACAATTTTTGTATTTTGTAGAGTATTTCGTAACCCAAGGCTCTACTAAATCGACTCGTCCCATTTTAAAGATATAGATTATATCAATTGATATGAATTGATTTTAGCTTCAGGTTAGCTTTCAAAATTTTATTTTAAATATAAATTTAAAAAAAAAAAAGAGTAATAGCCTATTGGGTACGTTGCTCTAGTGAGCCTTACGGATGAGGCTGGGAGCGGCTTTGAGACAGAGGCTCCGGGGTGTCGCAGTTGCGCGGCTTTTGCTGTCACCCCGCGGCCGTAAGGAGTGTGTGATGCGGAATGTAGCCAGAGCGGAGCTTGCGCCACAGCCAGACAGCTGGCACAACAGGATTGCCATCCGGGAGCCGTATCTGATCTTGCATCACTGGCTGTCGATCGCCATGGACACGGAGCCGCAGAGCAAGGCGCGTGTGGCCTGTTTGGCCACGGTGGACGAGGCGGGGCAGCCGGTCACGCGAATGACCAGCGTCGAGCAGATTAACGCCTCTGGGCTGACGTTCTACACGGCGCTGGGCAGTCGCCTGGCGGGCGAGATCCAAGCCAATCCGCATGTCTCCTTGCAGATGAATTGGCCCCACCTGGAGCGCAGTGTGCACATTGCCGGGACTGTGAGTCCGGTGTCCGCCTTTCAGGCGCAGCTACAGTTCGCCCGCTATCCGCGGGAGGTGCAGCTCAGCATGCACGGCATACAAACTAGGAAACGCAGTCTGCTCGGCAAGATCAAGAAGTGTCTCTCGCTGATCCTCAGCGAGCAGCGGCTGCCTAAAGTGCCTGTGCCCCCCAACTGGGGCGGCTTCCTCTTAAGTCCCACTCTGTATGAGTTCTATCGCACCTGCAACAAGACGCCGGGCAGGCAGTGTATGCGCTTTCGGCGCTGTCTCACGCTGCCGCGCGTAAGTCGATGGAGTCCTGGTACAGTACTCTCCGAAAACTAATTGATTTCCATTGACTTAGGGCATGCGAAATGAAACCCTAAGAGCGGATCGTTATGACTGGGTGTTCGATAGCAGCGTTCAGGATTCCTAAGAAATTCGATAAAAAATGTTATGTGCAGAAATTAAAAACGTAATACATATTAATACATATTTAATTTATTTGAGGTTATATTTGAGATCATTGCAAATGGCGGCCGCAACAAATGAAAAGCAAACAAGGCTAGTTTAAAATTTAATAAGCGCACAGCACACATGTGGCACACCCATACCCGCATACATACATATGTACATACAGACATACATACATACGCATTCGCATAGAGGTTTTCTCGTGTAACTGCAGCCAAGCGCAAAGAGTAATGCCCCACGGGATGTGCATGTCTCAAAACACACCAGCAGCAGCAACAACAACAACAATGACAGCACAGAGCATAGGCAAGTCGACAGCAAAGTAAATAACGAAAGCCCATGCGAAGCGCAACACCGGGAAAAAGAACAAGAGCAGAAAGCTTAACCCATAACTGTCTGCCTAGCGGCTTCTGACTTTTGTGTAGGCAAACCGCACCGCCGTTGCTTTGTTCACTCGGTACCTGCCTCCTGCATACTGTTTACTTTGTTGTCATTTACGCTTTGCATATTCTTCGGCTTGCGTCTTTTTGTTTTGCTCGCTTCATTTGCATGACTAGAAGCTTTGCTTTTGGCGGCCGCCTTCTAAAGCTTTTCACACACAGTCACTCCGCGTGAGCAAGAGAGCAGGCATGTGAGAGAGGATATTCAACTGGGGCTGGGGCCTGTGCTACTGTGCGAAAGTTGCGGCAAAAGCAGAGAGCACAAAAACTTGTTGGTTGAAGGCTATTGTGCTCTCATTGTGTAGGGTTGCCAGCTAATCTAAAAATGTAGATTCCATATTGCATAGAAAATGTAGCATACTATTTCTGCCATTGGCTAAATTTAAAAATATACAATTAAGTAATATTAGAAGTTCTTGTAGTTGTTTAGCTTGACCTCACTTCAGACTGTTTAAATACTGCGTGTATTGATGTCCTATCACCAATGGATTTTGATGTATAAATATTCTCTTTGGAAGCTCGACAACCCTCTAAGGATAACGGCATCCGGTGCCCGTACTAGCAAGCTTAAGTCTATGCGGCGTTTGTCGGCCGCCAGCAGTGAGGGTTGCGGTCTCGTTCAGTACGCCGCGCGGCTCAGGCTCAGCACGCAATTCGCAGCTCGTAGTCAGGTCCGCCAGCGGAATATAACCCAGCTCCAAAACGATAATTCTAGTGTAGCACAAAGTTCAACAATAATTTCCAGCGGCGGCATAACCAACTCCGTTTTTTTGTACAACTATTCAATAAAGAAAGTAAAAAGTATTAAATTTGTATAACATTGAATATAGCTATGAACTATTTTTCGTGTACGAACGTTTTTGCTAGTGTTTTTTCTAAGTGTAGCTTAATGAGTGTGCGTTAGATTAATGGCTTTTCCAATTAAAATAAAAATAGTTAGTGTTGCTTAATTAAATATATATAATATACAATATAGTATATATACCACATATACGTACATACAATTTGGTGTGCAAATATTTTTGCTAATTTCATCGTAAATGTATACACTTTAGACTATAATTAATAAAGCTTATTATTGAAATTAACGTATTTTTAAAGCAGAGCAGCCGCACAATAACTGTCAAAAAGTAACGGAAGGCGTGCCTGTATGCGTATATGTTGAGTATGCTCGTGTATATGTGTGTGTGTGTGTGAGTTGCTCTGACTAACTGTGTATATGTGTGTGAGTGGACTTTTACATAAGCAGCGCAGCATGGGAAGCGGCAGCGGCAGCGTCTGCAGCAGCGACGGCGGAGACAGCAGCAGCTCAAACGGCCACCTGCGGCTACTTGACGGATACCCCACAAAGAGTTCTACTTTTATATAACTGTAAAGAGCTCCGCAACGTGACAGCTAAAACATTGGACGTAAAACGTGGAAACTTGGAAACGTGCAACGTGAAACTTGCCTCGCAGCAGCAGCAGCAGCAATATTAACAGCAACAACAACAACCTAAACAACAGCAACAACCACAGCTACAACAACTACAAAGCAAAAGTTAAACGACAGCCCTGAACAATGGCTAACTTAAAACCCAATACGCTGCACGTGGACAACTTGAGTCCGCGACAGCGCAGTTTGAGCAGCGGACTGAGCAGCGCCTGCAGCTCGGGCAGCGTGTCCCCCGTGCCCATCATACCGATCATATCGATAAGTCGCGATGGCGAGGAGTCCGAGACGGAATCCGAAATCGAGCCGGAGCCGGCGCGCATATTTCATCGACGCATGTCCACCCATAGCAAGCGCAACAACAATCTGGTGGGTATTCCATTAAGCTCTTCTTCTTCTTCTTCTCCTGCTATTGCTCCTCTCGTTGTTGATTATCCTTTGCGCTGCAGTCGTCAGCGGCAGCACGTCAGCGCTCAAGTTTCTGGAGCGGAAGTTACATGCCCTGCCATGCAGACGCACTCTGACGTATGTACATGTATATGAACTAGAGGAGAATTATCGCTCTGTGGGTGAGAGGGGCAGGAGTGGCGGGGCGGCTAACGCTACATTGGAGTGTTTGTGCTTGTGTTTGTGCTCTGGCTAAAGGTCAGCTCACAGTTGTTGAGTTCAAGTGTTTAGTAAATATTTTAATGGTCGCAACAGCAAACGGGCCCTGCCAGTTAGGGTATACACACAGCATCAATTGCGTTGCCAGCGCGAATTATGCGAACTTAGGTCAAGGGTCACAAAAACCACTAAAAAAGCGATAGTCGACTTAGCTGCATACAAAGTTAAAACGAAATAGAGCTCAGTTATTGATAAGGTGAAGCCTTCTGTAAATAATATAAAAATATTCTAATATAATATCTATCTATATACATATGTACATGTACATAAAATATATGAAATATCTAATAATAGGTTTTTTTTTTTTGTTTCACGGTATTATATTTTTATAAATATTATTTCAAATCTCTGACTCTATTTAGCGCAATCTGTCTATTCTTTCGTCTGTATTTCTGTATGTATGAACACGTCGATCTCACAACCAATACCAAACTCGAGATATTCCATGTATGTGTTATTTCTTGTATGTAGGGAAAAAGCAAAGAATTATTGGAATATCATTTCAATATCAAGAATATCAAGAATATCAAGACAGTCTTGATTAGAGCTTTATTGAGTGCTTACCATAATATTCACTATTTATATAAACAAAATTTTGAATCTATACTTTAGAGAGATTTTCTAGTTCTATTAAATATTTTTAATAAATACAACTTGTATTCTTTCTTTTTGAATATAATATTTATTATTTAAAGAACAATATCATTGTATTTTATATGAATTTTTAAAAGTTTAAATATCTAAAAAATGCTGCAATTAAATTATAAAATTAATTATACTCTAATTATACTTTTTTCTATTTGATTTTCATGAATTGCTTTGCTCATGATTTGCCTCAAATTACACTTTTTCAAATGGTTTCAGCGCTAAGCCCCTTAAAAAAAAAATTAAAAAAAGAAAATCGTGGAAATTAATTTTGTGCGTCCAGAGAAACCGGACTTTTAAATCTGGCCGTTACACATTTTAATTAAAAGTTAGCATAGTTGCAAAGTAAAAACCGTAAAGAAAAAGACGGAAAAATGCGAAAACCTCAAAATGCAACACGGCGGCATTCAAAACCAAATGAGCGTCTTAATTAAGTTGTGCCTGTTGCCCATACAATATATATGTATATATACATATACATACATATACACGCATATATATATATTCAGTATATATTCGTTTTTCAGTCCTCTATTCATTGCCCTTCGCGCTGGGGGCTCAGGCTCGGGCTCAGGCCAGCGCGTTGTATGAATAATATGACCATTTTGTGTTAATCATACGCATCGTTGCACCCGCTGAAGCGGACTAAGGGTTGCTTCTATTAACCCAGTTGCTATGGAAAATATTTATAGCTCGGCTTCAACTGAACCGCTGAGTAATAGATATATATCTATAATTATTAATTGGTCTACATGCTTTATTTATCGCAGCATATTGAAAACTGTCCTAATAGCTCCAACAATCATATATATATTTTTGTTTTTCCAACGCAATTTATATCGGGATCGAGCGCATTTATCGTTCGCCAGCAAAACATTGTTTGTTATTTATTTGTTTTCATTTTCATTTTTATTTTCTTAACTTTTCTTTTCTTTTGTCTCTTTTTTTTTTTTTTTAGCCACAAAACACATTAGTCTGATTGTGACAAGCTGCAGTCAAGGGCTCCGCCATAAGCGGGAGAAATGCTGGCTGACGGATGGCATGGGGTCGCGTGGCATATGAGGGCTTTACATATGTCAAATCAGAAAACAATAGGTAACGCTCAACAAAAGCTCCTTAATGCCAGTTGGTCGCGAAGTCGACGGCACAAAACAAAACTCGTGGTGCGGCATCTATGACATACACACACATACATGCCGTGTCAATATAAATATAAAACTAGAATGCTGGCTGTTACCGACGGCAGGATACTCATTCACGACCCACACGCTGCTAGATAGAATATATTTTTCTATTCGGGATCAAAACCATCTTGACACTTTATGTATGCTTCGAAGTCAAATCATCAATGCAAATGGACGGACGGACTACAAACCGTTATACTCATTTCATATTCGCGAATGAGTATAAATATACATACGTATGAATGTATCTACGCAGCTGTGTGTATGTGTATAGCAATGACAATAGACATTAATTGTGTTCGTAGTTTCCTAGGTGGTAGGAATTAACTCCCCAAAGGTTTCATTCAACATGCATAATTAGGTTTATTCCTTTCAAGTTGTCTTGTTTGTTTTTAGAAATGGGTGAATAAGAAGTTAAGTGAGAGAAATCTAAAGGACAAGTTTAAGTTTTTTTTATATACTTATATAAAAACCACTGAAAGATGTTTGAGATTTCGCCAAGCTGCCTTAAACGTTCAGGACTGTTCATATTCGACTGACCCATCTGACAACCATATATCTTTTGACAGAGAAGGACACACTACGCCGTATAGGCGTACCTGGACCAAATAAAATTATTATTATCGTCAACACCTTCGTCTTTGACTTAAAAATAAATAAAATAAAATAAAAAAAAAAAAACTTAGTTGAATATGCGCAAAAAAGAAATATAAAAAATTTTTTTAATATTTTGAAATACATCAACCTATATTACTTCATTTGAAATAAACAAAGCAAATTCAAATATAAATTAAAATCTAATTTATATTTTTAAAAAATAGTGGATCTTCATTTTTCAATTTTTTTTTTTTTTTTTTTTTTTTTTTTCTATTCATTCATTATTTGTTTGAGTAATTAATGAATATTCAGCTAAGTATATAAAGAAAATACACCAGGCTCTAGACGCCGAATATACTAGTTTTTCTATAGATATTTTATGTTAAATTACATTC